GTATAAAATTACCAAATTAATTTATATAACTTGTTTGCTTTCAAATGAAATTGTTTGCTTTCATAGGTTTGCAAAGTTGTTTCCATTCCAAGGGAAACTAAGGTGCGGTTATTCATAACACTCACAAAATGAATTTTCTTGGTTGACTGTCTTGAAATTATTTACTAAAATTGTGATTCTAAATCAGATATTATATTAAAGTATATGGTATGTTTAATCATCTAAATGCTTTTACTTTATATATATTTTCTCTACACTTTTTATCTCTAAATACAAATATATAATAGTGAGGCAAAATCATATTTAATTTATTGTTGTTACAATAGTTATTTCAACATCTGAATGTAGAATTTCTTAAAAAATTTCTTCCTAGTAGAGAGCTTTCTGAAGATGGTATATAAACCTTAAGAGAGCTGAAAAAGGATCTTTTTATGTATAGCATGGCCTGATATGATAATTAGTTCCAATGCGTAAAATAAATAATAAAATGTTGGAAAGGATTAATAAATTCTTAAAGAATACATAATATCATATAAGTTATCATGGTCACATATTCATCACTTAGACTCTGAACTATTTCAATAATTTCAAGTGTCATCTTGACCTCTGGACAGAATAAAAGATCATTAAATTATCATTCTTGCTCTATCCATCTATGAGTTGTTTGGGCTTAGGCTAAACAGAGTAACCATGCATCTTCGTAAAATGTCTTCTTATTTGCTTGCATTTCAAGTTAAAAATTGGTCCTTAATAGGAAATATACGATCATTAAATCAATCACTAATCAAACACTCATTTAAGTCAGACATGTTCTTGCTATCCATAGTTTAAAGAAGAATTGTTTCTATTGGCGTAATCTAATATGTGAAACTTGAGTATAATGCTCTGAATGCTGCATGCTGCATGCAGATGTCATTGGCAATTTTCTTCTCCCCTTATTTCTATTTCATTGAAGATATTACTTTTATGTTTTTCTAACCATGCTCGGATTTCTCTGTGCAGAAGCTGCACCAGTGGTTCGTAAAAAGACTAGGTCCTTAGAAGCAAACCTCTTCTTTGAAAGATGTACATAATAGATCCAAATCAACCTCTTCATTGACCTTATAGATTATTTAATACCGAAATTAACAGCAAAGAAGGGAACACTTTTGTTTCTTGACCAAAGAGCACGAGTGTTGTGTTAGTCAACACTGATGCTATCTATCAGTTTCTTTTCAACTTGAAAGAAATGCAACATACATTTTTTTGTTATATTACTGATTGTGTTTCAAATCATTTGTTATTATTTTGGAGTAATTTGTATGCTCATATTTTGTATTTCAGTTTCTTAATAAATTAGTATTTCATTTTTTTGTAAATTAGCATTTTGTTTTTTGCTTAGTTGAAATTCCTTTTTTTAAATTAAAGTTTTAGTATATTTAGTTCTGCTTTTTGTTCTACAAATTTATACCATATTTTCTCTACTTTATCATTGTTTATTGAAATCTATTACACCAACATTTACCTTTTTTTTAGATTATCAAATTTACATGTGTTTGTGTTTAATAAGTCTAAATTTTATATAGTTTTTAACATGTCTTTTAATTTTAAAATTTAGTTCTTTGAATTGTTTGAGGTTTATTTTATTTGATTTTATGTATGTTTAATTATTTTTGGGTAGGTAAGGATTAAATTACAAGAAATTGAAATTCTTAAGACCAAACCAAAGAAATCAAGAATGGGAAGATCAAGGTGTCAATTTGTTAAAAGTATGAGGGATCCAAACAATTTTACCAATGAAGAGTTAAAATTGCTTTCAAGGCCAAAATTCCGACACGAACTCTTTTCGAGAATACAGTGAAAGTGTCGGCACTTGTTTAGCGTGTCGATACCTTGGGCGATTTCCAGCACATTAACACTAAGTCGTTCTTGCTTAGACTTGGTTCCACTTCTCTTACAATTAGGTTTCCAGTAAATATTTATCCAGTACTAGAACTAAAGGCAGCCGGTTGAGGAGGAGATTTTTCTAGCAAGAGGAAGAGTAGGAACTCCAGTGAAAAAGAGAAAATTTTTTAGCGGTGCAATTGATCAATTTTGGATTTTTTTTTTTTATTTTCATTAAAAATGAGATTTTTTTTTTTTTTTTTTATAATTGATCTATATATCATGAACTAAGTCATTTTTTTATAGGGTTTCAATTGGATTCAAATCAAGAATCTTCAAGTTTAGTTGAATTTAATTTCTCTATTTATTTTTTGTTCAAGTAATTATTTTATTTTATATTTAATGCTTTTAATTAACTTGATCACTTAATTAATTATTTAAATAGTTGACACTTATCTTTAAAAAAATATATTAGAGTTGAATCCTTGAATAAAACAACACAAGTTAAAGATAAAAATATACTCATAATATTTATATACAATTTCAAAAGAAAAATTATAAGACTTAATAATATTTCTACTTATTTAGATTTGTGTATAAATACAAAACTTGATAAATTAGAATATAAATATTACTAGATCTTAGGAAAAATTAGTAAATTATATATAAATTTCTTGACTGTCACTTGAAAATTAATAAATTGAGAGAAAATTCAACAATAAAAGTTTGAAGCGGATTGGGTTGACAAAAATTGTGTCTTAGATTGTTTAGAAATTGAAACTAATTTTACAAATGAGCTAAATTTAGAATTAATTAAATTGTGTTTCACTATCTTAAATTTCGAAATTATTAGATAAAATTACAATTAACATGACTTTCATACTTAGCGAGAGTTTTTTTTAATATTTATTTTCTATGGGATAATTTGGAATACATTATTATATTACTTATTGTACGATAATGTGCATCTACCTATTCACAATAATGTTGGTAATGTCGTAACTTCTTAAATTAATTAATTAATTAATAATGCATGCTGCATAATATTTATCCTTATTTAATTAGTATTTTACTGTTTGTTTATGTGTTAATATTTAAATTTATAATAGATTTTTATTTTCAAATTTTCCTGAAATTTTATTCTTTATGTTGTAAGAAAAGCAAATTGATCTGGTTATTTATATAATTCATCATGCGGTGGAATCTATTGCATTTCAGAGAAAAAAGAGAAAAGAAAGGGAACTCTGAATGTAGAAGAAATAGAATTTTGTAAGCCAAAGTTTAATACTTCGCCGCTTCTAGTCTTTTTTTTCTTTTTTTCTTTTTTTTTTTAAACAAAATTACAAAGATTTGGATTTGAATTCGTTGTTAAAGAAAAAATAAATACATAACGTGACATGATATCATTAAATCAAAACATCCAAGTACTCACCGCTTCTAGTCTTGGTGATGTAAAAAATAAAACATAAATCAACGACAAAAATGAATGAAATTATACAATGTGGAAGAGCCCCTCTAGCTCTACACATCATATCCATGGTTCCTTCTTCATTTTCTTGTAACAAAATGATTCCACTGAATTCGTCCAACTTTTGATGGCCAGTTACAGCTCTTTAAAAATGTAATTAAATATAATGATCTGAATTTTATTTTTAAGCCTTATTCGTACAGTTCCCTCGAAATTCTTCCTGTTAAAAAAAAAAAAATTTGATTGCACGAAATTCACTTTGTCTGAAGCATCATCACATGTGCTCTGCACATCGCGTCTTTTCTTGAAAATCGGAATTCAAAAAAGTAGTAAAATGATTAAAATTTGTCATCATTATAACTGCTTTCGGTGGAAAGCATGTGATACATTAATTACACTTTCCCTCTCTGGATCACTTGCCAGTTGTGGAAGGGATTGCGCATTATGCATTCTTCGCTGTATACCACGTGGTAGTACAATTATGGTGCTGAGTTATTGACAGATTACTTTCAAGTCTGATGTGAATTTTTAATATTAAATTTATTTATTTTTAAAATATAAATTAAAATTTATTAATTATAAAATTTATAATTAATTTTATATAAAATTTTATATTA